CGGATATATTATACGAAATCAACAGAAGACGATTAAGATAATAACGGTGTTTATTCTTTATCTATAGAATTTCACATTTTAAAAATTATTGTTAATTATTATAAATTTCACATAAATGTGAAGGTTTGAATCAACGCTCAAATAATAGCTTCTTGCTTGCAAAATTTGAAATTTATCTGAAAATTAAAATTATAAAATTACGATTATATTTTTCAAAATTATGAGATACAAAATTCGTAATAATTTTAAAGAATGTAATCTTAATTTTGTAATTTTAATTATCGTAATTCGTTATTAATTGGAATACGCAAGATGGAAGCGCGGCCGCCGCGGTCAGAATATCCCCTCCAGCTGGCTAGTTTGGACACGAACCATTAGCACGGACGCAAACCATGTGCGGTTACCGAGCGATACGACGTAGTTGAGTTGCACTTTCTCAGGCGGCGCGTCGGAAAATGCAACACAGCAACAGACGAAAAAGGCCGGGATGGCCTCTCTCAGGTTTCTCTCTGACACAAGTTACAAGAAGTTGTCCGCTTGTCCGGCTTGTCTCTTCGATCACGCGCACGCGTTTTCCCGCGGATTTCGTTAGATCGGCGATGTGCGGTTTGTGTGTTATTTAACGTGATGTTCGTTTAAATGTGAAAATTGCTCATCCCTCGGCTCGCAACTCCTTCGGAACGCCTTCGCAATTCGCGTGACGAGTGACGACGCGTTCTCCGCACAATCGGCCAAACTGTCCCGGCGAATTGTTTATTCCGGTTCTCATTTAGGTTATAGCGACGAAACCGCACTGACAGATCTGTCCGTATTGTCCGTAATAACGTTTGTGAGGAATGCTCTAATCTTCCTGGCACTTCGGAAACAACGAGGTAAATTCACGACAGTTTAATTGTCATTCGGCGAGTGCGCGTAGCCTCGTTTTTATAATTTCAACATTTTTGATAAAAACAAAAAAAACATCAAAGTTTGTATCATGTTCCAGATTTAATAAATGAAAAGTATGGACATTCCGATGGAAGACAACGATTGTGCCGTTGAAGCGGTCATGCCTGTGAAAAAGAAGAAAATGAGACAAGGTACTTTGATTTTCTTATATCGCACACAATGTAGAACACAGTCATTATGTTTATGAGAGGTCTGTTCTATTTATCTGAATTTCTTGCACAGTTTATCTTTCCTCTTTTTCTCTCTTTCGTGAAAAGAAAAAGATGAACCGCGCAAGAAGTTTGGCTAAAAAGAACAGGCCTAAGTACTGTATCATGTGTGAATATTTATTAGTTACTCGTTATTTCAGCACAACTGCCATTTCAAATGTTAAGTTCCTCCAAGTCGCCAAGCAGTACAGACAATGTGCCTAACAAGAAGAAGAGGAAGGTAATGTCACCTTTGGTAGGGTCCAAGAGCCCTAAGGTGGTAAAACTTGCAACAAAAGAGAACTTGGTCAGGAATGTACATGAGAAGGAAGGAGAAGAAAGAAAGTTGAACAGGAGCGACGATAGCGTTGAAATAATAACATCCGATGATGAAAAAAAGGACTTGGAGCAAAGCGATCAGCAAAAGACCAATAAAGGAGATAGTACGCCTAAGAGGAGTCTGAGAAAAAAAAAGAAACTGAATAGATCTCAACAGAATCTTGGTGCCTTAACTAAGTTCCTCAAAAAGACAGACAAAGAGGTTGAAGAAAGTGATGTTAGTCATGACAATAATTTATCTGAATTTAAAGATGATAAAGACTGTCAGGATACATCTGTACACAAGGAAAAAAATGAAATCTGTTTGAATGAAGGTTCAGGCACATCAGTCATACGATCTGAATTACAAGATGATAAGGACTGTCAGGATACATCTGTACACAAGGAAAAAAATGAAATCTGTTTGAATGAAAGTTCAGGCACATCAGTCACACCATCTGAATTACAAGATACATCTCAACTAAGCGAAACAGATGATCGTGTCGCTAATAAGGATGTAGATTCTTCTCTTCAGGAAACAGACTGTAATATTACTATTTTGTCTTCGGATAATGAGGCTTCAAGCGAGTTGGATAAATCAATATCGAGTACAAGTAAAGAAATAACTGATAAACCTACAACTCCTGTTACTCCAAAAACTGACAAAGATATGAAGAATAAAAAATTAACACCGAAACAGTTAGAAAAGAGAAAGGAAATTGTTAGAAGAAAGGAGGAGAAGCAAAGATTAAAAATGGTATGTATGTATTGTACATGGAAGATTTAAATTTTATTTTTATTTATTTATGAAGAGAAAAATGTATTAAATTAGAAATTTGATTATATTATATATATATATATAATATATATATACACACATACGTCATTTCACTTGTATTTTATTTTTCATGTGCCAGGAGAAAGAAAAAAAACGGGAGGAAGAAAAAGCAAATCGGCGAAGGGAGAGAGAAGAGAAACAGAAGGAAAAAGAAGAAAAAGAGAGAATAGAAAAAGAGCAGAAAAAAAAGGAAAAGGAATTAAAGGAACTTAAGAAACAAATGGAGATCGAGTAAAGAACTATTGTATTTTATTATGCATTTTATGTTGTATACTTTTGTACTAAAAATAACTTATTTCTAGACAAAAACAAAAAGAAAAGGAAGCGAAAGAAGAAGAACGGAAAAAGCGAGAAGAAGAGAAAAGAAAGAAAGAAGAGGAACGACTGGAAGCCGAACGCAAGAAGCAGAAAGCTGCCTCAAATTTTGCTAGCTTTTTCGTTCCCAAAAAGCAGGAGGTTAAATCGACGGACGAAGAGAATGTAATTAAAGTGAAAAATTTTATGCCTTTTGAAGTAAAGGCTGACATGAAAATTGCGCCAATTTGTCGAAGAAAGTTGAATGAAGACGAGAAATTATTGTTAGATAACAAGTGTAACATAGATTTGGATAAAACCGAATTGTATCTTGAAGATATTAAAAGGAGAAGAATCGTGCCGCGAACTTCCTCCAAAACATGGCCGCTCGAAGCAAAGGAGGACGATGATATCATTCTACTAGGTAAAAAAACACATTTGTAATAAAACTGCGTTTATATTACAAATCTTTTGGTATTATTTGTTAAATATTTTAATGAATATAATTGATTGTTTGTACAGACGAAGACAACGTCGGCAGTTCTAACATAATAACGGACACGCATAACTTGGAGAAGCACCGCCCGAAATTATTGCAATTCAACGAAAATCGCCGTCCTCCGTACTGGGGCACGTGGCGGAAACGAAGTAACGTTCTAAATTCCCGGCGACCGTTTGCGAGAGACAAGGTAAGAATTAATATTAATTAATAAGATGATTCTTACAAATGTTTCTTAAGGGTTATTTCGATACGTTAATTATTGAATAATGTTTATTAAAACAGCTACTATTTGTGCACATATATCTAGCTTTGATAATTACGATCATGTAAAACTGTTAATTTTTACAAAAAATATTTTGAATTGAAGGGCTTTTACGAAAAATAAGATACATAATAATGCATTTATAGTAATTTTGTCATTATTTTATATAACGCTTATAATTTTATTACGTTTTTATCGCACTTTTTTAACGTTAACTGCTAATAGGGACTTGTTACTAATACTAGGTTGAATATCTCATTCAATTTAATGTAACCCTTCCATTTATCACACGCTTCTGTTTCTTTTTTGCAATCGAAACAATTTTCCAGCATACATTACAAAATGTATATATTATAAATTTTTCGATTTTAACACAATATTTATGACACTATTTCATTAGAGTTAATACTAGCGGTTTTTGAAAGATAGAGGAATGCAAGTGTATTAAGAATATTTTAAGAATCCAATGAGGGTTAGCCGCCGAAAATATTAAGACCCACTAATTTATATCTACATATATTATTAATTTGGCACAAGTCATACCTTCTTACATTTATATATATAGAATCAGTTTAAGTACTTTATTTGTTAATTTATATAGAAACTATGCTGCAGCATTGTTTCATGTTCTTAGTGATAAACTTTGGTTCATTAATTAGGAGAAAATTCGAAAAGACACGAGAGGCAGGCGCAGGTATCTTAGATTTCCGATGGTAAAACATTTATCTTGCTGCCACGTAGTCCTCTAGCTCCATGGAACAATGGGTAGGCATTTTTCCGGTGCACCTTACGATGCTTGGCTAAATGATCGCTACGCGCGAATCTTTTCGAGCACATCTCGCACGGGTACGGTTTAATGCCCGAGTGCGATCGTCGGTGCCTCGCCAGCTCGTCCGATCGACTGAAACGCCATACGCAACCGGCCCAAGTGCACGCAAACGGTTTCTCGCCGGTATGTCGTCGTAAATGAGCCTTTAAATGAGACGCCTTGGCGTATACCTAAAACGAAAAGAAAAAGATATTATATTTTAACTAGGACTCTTAAGAGCCAATCTAAAATTGGTCATATCATTAATTTTCCATGAAAAACTTGATTATTTTTATTTCCTAAAAAGCTACGTGCTAGAATATTTAGTAAAATAGCCGATAAAATGGTAATATAATAAATAAATCTCGTATCAAGATTATTACTTTTAAGCACCCTTGGTAGGTACATGGGAAGCATCGGTCTTCGGACGCATTTGCTAAGCTACGATTGGTGTAATCGTGAGTTGCTAAAGCGGCAGTAGCTGCTGATGAAATTAAGAGACTGTCGTCTAACTGGTTGTTGTTATAATCTGTAATTGAGACGCATGTTAATCATCTTGACATATGATCGTTGAAATAACGATGCACATTTTAAACGGCACGGTATCTTATTCTCAAGTAACAGACGCGCTCGAAGAATGAATAGATATTTCTTTGTATCACAATCACAATTGAAAAAGAAATCCCCGTTGCTTTAATACTCCGATTAAATACTTCGACGCTATTCTCCGATCTTCTCGTAGTAGAATGTACACCCTGTACCTATCGTATTTGTTCCTAATGTGTTTTCCAACGCTCGTAAATCGATGCCGAGTACTAGCAACGGTTCCTCATATTGTGGCATCTGTTGCGGATTCGGCTGGGGCGGCAAATGCAGAAATCCTTCGCACCCTGCGGTGCACAGTGGCGTTCTTTCCGGTAGACCGGAGTCCCAGCTCTTCTCCAGACACCAATCCAGCTCCGAATCCAATTCGCCCAGTTCGCTCAAATAACCTGCGATTATTAAAAGAAGTCTTGAGTAAGAAGATAACGCGCTTCTGACCGCGTAAAGTCCAACTTTTTTCCTAATGAAAATCTGAGAAAATCCTCTCGCGATGAACGGGAATAATACTGTATTAGCTTGAATTTAGTTGCATTATCGTATATTTGTGTATGGAAAAAGGAGTACCTGAAGATGTGGGCGTATTGGTGATCGACCAGTCGTTCCAAGACGATTGCGGAGAACAAGTTAAGTCGGTGTAGCAATCTGTCGGATTTGTCACGTTTAACTGGCTGTCGAGTATCCCGAAATCATCGCTAAGCGGAGTCGCGCACGAGACCTCGTAATCGTTAGGTAAATTCGTTCTGGTCGGGGAAAATAGCTGTCTCTCGATGCTGGTGTCCGTCGTCAGGCCAAGAGCGGAAAACAGTAGTTCGTCTGTCATCTGTAGACGGAAATAAATAGGTGTTTTTAAACTACTTCAAGGCTAAACTTAATATCAACGATGAATCAAACACTTAACTCTCGTGCATGTTAATTACAGTTTTGATAGAACCAATAATTCCATTAAACAGATGATTGTACGGAATTTAATTTTTATGTGACACAAGAAATAGAATATGTGCATGCAGTTAAGCATGATATTGCCGAGCGCAAAGTAAATACGTAATTTAATACGACATTGCGCTGCGTCGTGTACTCACATCGAATGTCATAGCTTCCTCGATCATGATGCCGAGAGATTAAACTAGAGTTGGAGTCGATCTCGGAAAATGCGTTTTTCATACGGAATGATGACCAAAACTTTCAGAATAATGATCATCTGACGTTTACCTAATTCCTCCCAAAATCTCAGCCGTGTTTCGACATGAGAATCTGTTTACTGATCATGACCTCGCATGGAGCTAACAAAGACAAATTTTGGCGACTGCTCGCGGTATGTTAACACGACAAATCAGACTAAGAATCACTTGTATCAGATCATAATCCCAATCTTGTAAAATTTGTCTTTATGATGGAGAACCGGTATCGATGTCGCAGAGTCTTCCTTTTACGGGCGATCGAGAGATTTGGAGGTCTCTAAAATGCGGATATCTACGATAAAAGCCAGCGACAGAACGTTGTGGCGAGTACACCTTCGAAACCTCGCGCGCGTCCGAACGAAATCGGAAATGCAGATCCGCTCGTCGCGACCGATCGGTAGTCGTGTCGAGACTGCAACTGGTGGTCGAATTCTCCAAGCGGGAAGACGTCGACGAGAGCGTGTGACGAGAGTGCGTGTGGCACACGGCTCCCTTGAGATAAGCTAGCCTGTGCCACCCGGCGCCGTCGCCGCGCTCCCCAGGGACCTCGCGATCGCGCACGTCGGTCGCCGGTACGTCCCAGAACGCCGACACCACCATCCTCACCGGAGATCCGTTGTTGGTTTTATCCTCTCCCGGCTCGCGTTAGGGATGAAATTAAATATCTTGCGATAGCCGCGAATTTTCTTTACGGCCATTTGGGAAAATTCTCCCGAGGCTTAAAAACGAAGAGACATCAATTTTCTTTGACAGCTTTCAAGGTTGAAATAGAATATCAAAATAGAGAAAGATAAGACCAATGTGGTCTCAGAAAACAAAAATGTTTTGAAAGGGTTAGACACAATAACAAGTGTGGATCGGATTATTTCGATTTCAAGAGTTTTTCGTGACAATTCTACGTTATACCTAAATTCCTAAATAACCAGTATTTAAGAAATAGATCATTTAGCCTTGTGATTTTTGTATATATAAAAAGAAAGTCGGTGTCAAATTCTGGGATTTCGAGCACTACTCAATTCGATTCCTCTCGTTGAAATATAAGTTTTCAAACTTGTGGCACCTACTTGGTTTGGAGTTAGGAAAACGATTCTTTTTACAATAAACTGGGCGATCGTTTTTACTATCATCACTCGAGTCTCACGAAACGAAACTCGACTGTTAAAGTTGGCTTGCGATCGATACACGCAATCGAACTTGATCCCATCCCTATAGCGATCGGACAGTTAGCCCGTTTATTTACGGTCCCCCGAGATGCAAATTAATCGGACAGCGCGCCGGATGATCGCGATGCTCGGATGCTGGCTATCAGCGCTGATTTCGCCGAACGAATCGCGTCGCGCCGCCGCACGGATTCGGGAAAGAGGAAAAGAGAAAGAGAGAGAGAGAGAGAGAGTCTCCCAACCCTCTCTCCTCGTCTTCGGGGATGTCTCGAGGATGCCGTCGCGTTGTCGTGCACGTGGCTGCCAGATATATTGACGATTTCAATTCATGATGTAATCCGAGGAGAGCAGGCTGCCTGGGCCCGTTCCGATCGGTCGTACATACACACGCATGGAAGTATCTCGAAATATCGTGACTCTGGGAACGTTAAGGGAATTTTCAACAATTGAATGACGGCTCTGCTAGATGACAAATTTATTGCTATAAAAATCCGCAAAAATATTTAAGACGGTATTACGTATGGATTTTTAAATGTGCATTGTTGCATGTGCGTTATAGAACACATGCGTACACTTGCGAAAGGTTAAAATATATAGATGTGCACGGGAAAAATAATGTATTAACAGTATTAGCTTATAGCAGTCTAATTGAAAATAATCTTATTAATTCAGTAACAGTATTAATGAAACGTAACATTTTATTAAAACAAGAATATGACGTTTTTGTTTCATTAATACTGTTATTGAATTAACAAGATTTTAATTGGACTGCTGTTGGCTAACGAGATATGGAATTGTCTTTCCCGAAAACTTTTCAGATATCTCGTACTCGCCAAAATTCTCGCTTGTCTCTCGCATAGAAACCAATGTTGTTAATACTTCGCGGTTCCATGTCAGGTTCTACTTGGTATAATACGTTGTAATAGCCTATCACATAATTCTTCAAAAATTCGAATTTGTATGCGATAATAATTGACAAACCTTATTTTTCGGATCTCTAAATTCTTCTAAGTAATAAAAGTTCTGTGGCTTATGTTAGATCAACCGGTTAAATGAAATTAAAAACGAAATGCTTGATTTTCGTTTATTTACAATAGTTTGAATCGCAAAAGGTTAAGAAATAGAAATTTTTTCCAAAATTTTAGAATTTTTCCAAGCGATTACGTATAAAATTAGAACATATCCTTTTATGTACATATTTATATATTGTCTTTACATTGTTGCATACATTTATAAAACATATGTTACTGGCGGGAGTTTAGATATGCGCACAAATATGACTGGAAAATATGTCGTAGAGTAGCGAAAAATAACCGATACGGTTTTTTTTTATTAAAGCATGTTTAAGGGTTGAAACAACCCTTCAAAAGAAATTCCCCATATTTGATTACGAGTGAATATCTTTCATATATCGTGAGATATATGAAAAAATGTTTAGACAAAAAGGTAACGATATTAAGTGACCTCTGTAATCATATATTTAGATTTTTTAATATACTTTTGCAAAAATAACATTGAAGGGTGGAGTTATGTTAAAAAATTGATATTTAACAAAATCTAAATATACGATTACAGAGGTTACTTAAAGATGTGTGTCGCTATAGCTATATGCAGTATAATTTTGTTTTCTTGATTAAACAGTGTAGAGCTAATCTCAGAAATTATTCATAAACAACATGGTATCATTGGGACAGAAAAAGCGTAAAAATCGCAATTTTGTCCCATTTTTGTACTTGATATTGTTTAAATAAATCATTAAAAGATTGAAGAAAAATATAACCAGAAAATCTTAAAAAACCGTAATTGCAATTCTCGATGTCATAGAAGTGTACCATAAAAATTTCATTCATTTTTACCGTACATGAGCAGAGATACATATTATGATATTTACATGGGAAGTATATCTATACATATACAATTTCTGTAACTTTTAAAGCAAAAAGCAAATATCTCAAAAACGGGTCGGACAATCGATCGCAAATTTAACACAGGTTTTTGGGATATATAAGTGTAAATTTTAGCTTTATCCTGTTATTTTGACATAAGCGACATACATTTTGAATACCCCGTGACCTTTTTGTCTGAAACATTTTTATATATATACCATACGGTTTCAGAGATATTTACTCATAATCAAATATATATATGGAATTTCTTTTCAGGGGTTGTTTCAACTCCTAAACATGCTTCGAAACTGCTAAAAAAATACGCGTGTTTGTTATTTTTGCTATTGTACGATATGTTGAAAATATCTAAAACCCTTTAAGATCGTTCCAAATGTGTCTCTTGTGAGACATTATCCTTTCCAAACATTCCCAAGATATCTCATAGGGCAAACTTGGGTAAGATGGCCATAGAGGAAAGACGGCCAACTCATGTTCATTCGATCATGCATGGCGAGCTAGATTGAGAGAACATGGGTTGGCCATCTTTCCGCTATGGCCATCTCTTACCTGAGTTTACCCTGTTCGAAAATATTCAAGATACGAATTTTCTCTCGCATAGAAATATATGTTAATAAGAAATATAAATCTTTTTATAGTTTTTTGTGTAGAATGTTTTCCAGCGATTACATATAGAATTAAAATATTTTCGTTCTTTTGTGAGAACGTTTGTATTGGTTTTTTACATATAAAAAAAATCATACAATTCAGAAACCATTGATTATTGATGAAAAGTATCACATCACGGCGATAGAACGTCCAAATTTACATCAGTTTTGTTTTTCGATTGCGAAAATGTTTCGGTAATATCGGCCGCGAGCTGTTGATTCGGGTGGAATCTTCCCGAATTACATTACCGTCGAGAAAAAGAAGAAATAAAGAGCAAAGCGCGAGTGATCATTTCGCACACAGCGCGTTGTGTTTAAGCTAGAATGCGACACGGGGCCCGATAAAGGTGTCTCACCCGAGACCGATCGCCATTAGGAGTTCAATCGCTCGTTTATCGGTGCGAGGTTGACCTTAGATATACAACGTCGCAATGTATTTGATGATTCGGGCTTGAAACCACGGTTGATCGGAAAACAACACGACATATTAAGGTGAGATTAATCCGACATCAGACTATATAAGATTCTGCAGAGACTTCGTTTATCTCTTGGTACTCTTTCAATTCGCCCCGGATTGATCTTGACGCGATTGTGAAGAAACTAAAAAAAAACAAAATGATGAATTCCTGTGTTCTGTACAATACTCTAGTATAATACTCCATAAAAATTTATAAAAGTAGGTATTTAAACAAAAACGACGTAAGATAATTCAGTCGCTAATACCACTCTATTAACGCGGCCTATTACTATAAGTCGGATCAAATTCAGGTCATTTGTGCCAGAGGTACATATATCATCTCGCAGTCTCTATATTCTTGGATATAGTCGGCGCTCTCAAAGAGCCAATGGCATGTAAGACACCCTGCCTGAAATATTAAATACGTAGTAAACGGTCTTCGGGATTAAACATTCTCACGTGTTGCGGCGTCTTCTGCATTCTGAAGAGATGATAAACGCTCCTACGCTATCCTTACGTCAATCTTGAGATTATACGATCAGCGGTGTCAGTAATAATTTTTCAAAACTGTGATTCTAAGAAGCAACCATGATTCTGTTTTACAAGATAATTGCATTAACCGTTACAAGCACGTAGAAATAAAAACGTTTGTTTTTTTTATACAATGTTATGTATTGTGTATACGAGACGAGTAATTTGTAGTTGTAATTTTTGTTGCTTTTTTATTTCCACGAGAATTCGGCGCCTGTTGGTGTAGATATTCGGTTTTTAGATTAGGCAAGCGGCGCTAAAAAAGGTATAGTTATCACGGTTTACGTGGTGCGTTATGAAAAACAGACCACGACTCAGTGACGACACGGTGATCCATCGGCGGCACGTTTATCTGGCGGATTTATTTTATTATCTGGCGAGCGCGAGCGATCCGATATATCTTCGCGAGTGCTCGGATCCGTTGCACTCGCGTCCGTTTCGAGAATGAAGCCGGGGAGAAAAAGGAAAAAAAGGCTCAAGAGGAAAATAAAATTATTCTCCTCTGAGAGAGGAGCTCTCTACTTTAAAGTTACGTTATTATGTTATACGTAATTCTTAAGTATCTTTACGGCAGTCCAAACCACGTGAGAGAGCCAAAGAAAACATCTAACAGATAAAGTGCTCCTGAAATTAAAATGTTTCTTAAAAGCTCTTTTCAAACATCTCACTTTGGCTTTTAGAAGCATGTGCAATAATCGAGTTTTGAAAGATATCGGGTCTCAAGTAAAATAATAAAATAGATACATTATATGTCTATGTCTATGATATGGAGTAATAACATAAGAACATACAGAATAATGATATAAATGATAATAAATAATGTAACAATATATAGAAAGTACATAACAAAACACGGTTAATTAAAGGTTTTAACAAAAAAAAAAGAAACTGAAGAGATAGAGATACCCATAGTTATATCGACATCTAATCCGCTGGCACGCACGGATATCGGATTGATTTCGTGTTTTATTGCGTTCAGAGGAACGATATCTCACACTGACGTTCGTATACGCTACGTAATATTCCGCGAACATCGCGCTTTCGCAACTCACGTGCGCAGCTTTAACCCTTTCAGTATACCGGTGCGCCATATATCAGGTATCAATTTTCATCGGCTGCCCGTATATCGCATCGCAGGTTCTTGTCAGCCGGCTCGATTTGATTCTCACTGAAGGTTGAATCGAAACTAACTTAAAATACCTTTTTAGCGGTACTTTTTGTGAACATTTGGAGTTGGAGAGGGGGGGTACAAATGCTCCCCCGTTCGAGTTTGGAATTCGAAAATTCCGTTCGAACGTATTATTTTTCCTTAAGTTTGTTAAATTTTTTTGTTAAGATTTACTGAATTTAAGCGGACTCTACTTTTGTCAAACATTATATGAAACATTTCATGAGAAAGGATTCGCGTTATCTGTCTTATATTGCAGATGGCACGAATGTACACTTTCAAAAGTGACATCATATACGCTTCTTAACGTGTATACTGCAATTAACGTATCAGCTGATGATTGGCAATAGTCCGTTTCGCGTGAAATTTATGCGTTCGGCGATAACACGCGCGCGTTTATCTTGCGAGAGACGCATTTTCGATCCTGCGTCACTATGAGCAGTACGAAACGCTGTTGTGCGCGTGCCATCTCATTTGGGAAATTAAAAACTCGATCGCGCTTATTAAGTGGGTCGTTACATTTTACAGGAAACGTGATTGGTAGCTCCAACTATTTAACATCAGTTTAACGAATAGTTTTACGCGCGGGAGTAAATTTTTAAAAGACTATATATATTAATTCTTTTAATGTGAGATCAATGTCTCTTTTTAAACATTTCTTTTTTTATAACGTTTAGCCCATCGAATCGCAATTTTACAAGCTCCTACAATGTTAAATTTGTAGTGTCGAATTATACTCTCAGTTTGAGTTTTTTTAACCATCCTTATAGGTCGCCACTGCTTCTACTCAGTATGTCGTTAATTTAACTAAAACAATGTTAATTTAATTAAACCAAGGGAGTTAAAATAATACTGTTTTGTGTTAAAGTAATAAATTTCTACACACATGGTAGTTAAAAATAACAAAATGTTACTTAACTTAAGGTATCGGTTTAAATTGCATCCTTTAATATTTAACAGTACAAGTGTGCGACATGTCTGAATCTTGCGGTTAGGTTAATTTGAAATTATAGAGTCGAACATCGTTCTATGGTGATGACAGTTCACGTGAAGCAACGGTCTCCAATTTCCAATGCGGAGCGGACGCCATATCGTCACGCTAACTCGGTAACGAAGTGCAGGAAGTCTATCGATATTCCCCGAAATATTCGGGGAATAAATCAGTTCGATTGCCGGGCCGCCTAATCTACGGTGAATCCACGACGAGGAGCACCGGTCGTAATCTTAATGGGGCATAAAACAGCCATTACAGATGGCCCGCCGGGCGACAACACGCTGTAAATAATGTACGACGCTTCGCGGCATGTAGCGGCGCGCAACGTCGGGCGCATCCATCGCACCCTCGGGCCGATAACTGCGCTTTTCTTCTTGGGCGTGTTGGATCCTTTCGTTCGGCGCGTGTGTGCGTGCGTGCATGCGCATGTACGCGCGAAGGGTGCCTTCGGTGATGGTGCAGGAGATCTGTTCTCAATTCTTCACGCCTCTAATCAGAATGACTGTGACACCGAATCAATTTCAGTGGTAAAAAACAAATGCTGATTGTAAATTATGAAATCAGTTAAAAATATGAATGACCCAGTCATTAAATAACAATAATTTTGATTTAATTTCCACACAAATTTGGAAAGTACCATGATGCTCGTGATAGTCACAATTATTCTGATTATATCCGAAAGATTCTCGACGCGTTTTGCAGTTCGCATACAGGTTAATTCTATTTCTTTCAATTGCGGATTTTTTCGTTAATTTTTAATGACATTTCAATATATATATATTGAATTGTATACATATATATATATATATATGTATACTTATATATAAAATTCCGTCTCAATCAATTTTGTTAAAGTACATTTGAAGTTGCGTTGTTTTAAATCGCTTGTAATTAAAAAGTGTTTTGGGTGTGTGCGTAATTAAAAAGTGCTTCGATGCATCGGTTTGAAAATGATAAAAAAATCCGCGATTGGAAAGAAATATGTTTTGGGATCTGGGACACCTTATTCTTGATAATAAATTGTACCCTTCGCGAGACGTCATACGTACCTTCATACTGCTGCCAAAAGCTGCTTGAACTCTTTCTCTTTCTCCTCTTTTTTCCCCTCTTTTGTTTATTAGCGATGAACCGACGATTGTTTTTGTGTTACTCGCCTCAGCGACGAGTGTATCAATCGCCCGTGAGATTACGTTTCTCTCCGATAATAAATTAATGTCTCGAGAAGAGTCTTGTAATTGATGCTCACGTAGGGATGAAATCGACGTTGATTTATCGAACAAAGAATATCTCGCGCCGCGGCGCAAAGAGAAAAGAGGATCGGAGAGAGGGAGAGGGAAAATTTATCGACTTTTCGGCGAGGGATAGCGCACTATCGCGATGCGTTTTATTACCGTTGCGAACTAATTGATTTCAATTATATTCCGGGAATTATCGCGCTTTGTGTTGGACACGCCACAACTATTGTCGCTTGAAAAGAAACTATGATAAGCGCTACGCAATAACGATAATTAATTCAAACGCGCATTTGATTCGTTCCGTTAATTCGAAACGCCGCGTACAACGCAAATAAAAGTAAAAAAGTGTCGTAAAAATAGCTACTCCAGGATGCTTTCACGAACGCGCAGGTGAAAATAGCTACTTAACAAGCTACCAAGTTGCACGCGAATAACGAGCGGTAGGTATATTGTTCGGTATATTCCCGTTCACTGGGCGCAAAAATATGCCGATGTAACACCGCGGAACATCTTCATACTTCTCGCGATGATATAATCACGTCACACTCGTCCAGTGACCAATACTTCGACTGGGAAGAGCATTACGATATTTTCGCGCGACGAGGATATATCTTCTCTCTCGTATCGGTGGCTACGCGAAAACAATCGGGCAGCATTTATTAACACCGAGGCCGTCACGGAAAAAACGAACGTTGACGGACTTGAATCTACATTTTTGATAGGACGTTCAACGGCTGACTACAGCTTCGTTACTAAGAGAATCCGGGGAATGCGTGCGGTCCGGCTCGTCGGAGATGATTGCAAAGCCGAGATATCGCTCGTCGAGGAAGTCGTTTGATATCGTCGACGTCCTGCTTGTGACGAATTGAGATTCCGTCGCGGTCGTGACCACAAAATTGAGATAAATCAGTCAATGACAATGAAAAACTACGATAGCACGAGAACACGGTCGTCGAATTGTCTAAATTAATCGAAAGCGTTCATGCGAATGTCATTCATTTAGAAACACACGAATTGTGAGATCGATGCGAATCTTTATCTATACTCACTGCAATGCAGGATTATTCTTGATATAATTGGCAAAAAGTAGTTTGTATGAGAAATAATTAATTCGAAAGTGAATAAATCACATTAACTTCGCCAGTTAAATTTAATTATTTAAATGAGGTGCTTATATATAAGTATCAAAGATTACATCAATTTATAAGGACCACATTATTTGGTTAAAAGAGCGTCTTAATGATAATCGAACCAAATCAAGGTCGTATTGTCTTGATGATCATATCTCCAGAAGAGCCGATTGATATTTCCATTGCTGTAATTCAAAAGTGCAGAATAAAATCGTTAAATAAAACTTTATATTCATATAGGAATTAATGGTATGAAAAAATATGGTCTCTTTTCTGTTAATGTCTACAAGAAACATATTATGTTTTAATTTCAGAAATGGTTCGATTATGAAATTGATTCCGATGACGAATGGGAGGAGGAAGAACCTGGCGAGTCTCTCAAAGGATCGGATGACGAGAAGGACGAAGAAAATCCGGAAGACGACGAATATGATGTCGACAATGAGTTCATGGTGCCTCATGGGTAAGTGGAATCGGTTAAATTATATTGAAATTATGCATTTATATGAAATTATAAATGCATAAACGAGATATATTTCGAAATATATATTGCAAAGATATTTCTTTATGTATTACAAACAATTTTTTAAATAGCCTAAATAACAAAATACAATATTAATTTGTATATATTGTTGTTTATTAAAATTAATCTTTAACAAAAGAATTCTTTTATAGAAATGGAAATTACAATTTTAGAAAGAGTATAAGAATCTCGCTACTAGAAAATTAAATCTGAATCAGAATGATTAAGTTCATCACTTTTTGTCCACTGCGCATCTTAAGTGCAATCTTAAAATTACATAAATAAATTCTGAATGTTTGTATCCTTCGGTTTTTGCGCGTCTGTGTGAATCTTTCAAAAATTAAATGAGAAAACGTTTGCAATTTAGGTATCTGTCCGATGAAGAAGCGCGAGCTGACGAGGAGGAGATCGAGGATATGGTAAGTAGATTATAACGATGGATGTTAAGAAAAGTTATTACGTATAAAATTTTTATTTTGAAATACAGATTAGTGGAAAGCATATGTTTTTGTTACAGTCACCACAAACACAAAAGATGAAATTGAAGTTATTGGGAGAGCAATTCGAAGCCGAAAGAAACGCGAAGACGTACAAACTTAAACCGAAAATAATCGGATGTATCTGGCAAGGACCCGAAAATTCATTTCCGGAATCTGGTGAGTATATTTTATTTGCAGATATGTATACTATAGACACATATATCTGTTATACATATATATAATTATATAATTATATAATATATGTTATATATATATGTATATATATATTAATAATTTATAATATATATATGTATATATATATATTATAAGTTATTAAATATTATTCTATTGTTATCTGTACTTAAAATCACATATTTAAATTTGTTTCAGTCCCCCCAAAGGTCAAAGAATTTTTGTCGGCACGGCAAGCTTGGGTCAACAACATACCGATAATATTTCCGTCGGCATCACCGGAAGAAGATATTTCGACTAACACAGAATGCAAGACTCCTACCCATCAATCTGTGAGAGGAGCAAAAAAGACCAAGTTTCCTAATGAAGCTTTGCCCGATCTGATTCGATTGGTGCACGGGAACAGACACGGTAGACATGGTCTTATGAGGGAGTTCATGACATTCTGGAGCAAAAAGGGCGGAAGCCATTTATCGAAAGTTAGCGTATTGTCGAAAATTAATGAAATCGCTGATAGGATAGCATGTCCCGAAGAGGGACCAATGCATCTCAAATCCTGCTGGTATGTCCCAGAGAACATCCGGAAACAGTATCTTTCCGATGTTGAGCTATCGTTGCCAAATCGTTGGAAATATATTTTGACGCCAAATCGGAAAGACGACACTCAAATTGCCGATAAAACTGAGAAAGAAGAAAGAGATAAAGAAAAAGAGAAGAAACACGTACCACTTATTACTCAATTCACTAAAAAAATTACACAGGAGGAGATGAAGAAACAACTGGCAAAATCTGACCAGGAAGAGGCGAAGAAACAGTCGACGTCGAAACTCGACCAAGAGGAGACTCAGAAACAATCGACAGCGAAACTCGAGCAAGAGGAGACCAAGAAACAGTTGGCATCAAAATCCGATCAGATTTCCGTCCCACCGAAATTACCCCCGCTACAAAGACCTCCTAAACGGGCGACTTTAATCTCCGTAGGAAGGGGGGAACAATTTCCGGAAGGATCTCGACAGAATATGTTAGCCAAATTCGTCGGTCTGGATAAGGAGAAAGAGGAACCATTGAACAGCGAAAAGATGGTCGATTCAGACAAAGTATGATTAAATTCGTTGAAAATAATTATACGAATAAGACGAATCAAAAGTTAGAATCGACTGATAAATCGTAAAACTTTCGCAATGAATAAGTAGCGAAAAAGAGACTTTGAGAGCAGATATAATAATTGTTGATGTAGAAAAAACAAACGATTGATTTGGAAAATGAAGCGGAAATGATAGATAACTAGATAAATAAATAGTTGCAGGCAAAGACTATTACAAGCGTATAATAACCCAATTAAGAATAGCGCAGGACATAAAAAAGGGGAAAGCACCGTTTTTCTGTTCGCGTAAATATATTCATTTATCACTCTATTTAGAAAGGCATCTATATTTAATCGATTATTGATTTATTAATGATATACAATTTATGTGTTAATTAATACTTCTTTACACGTACAAAGCTTTAACGAGTAGTTCTTATTACGTCTCGTAATTCGAATATCACATTTCGTAAAATAAGATATGTTTATATATAAAAACAGACGTCGTTATTTTGAAATAACGACCTTACATCATATTTTAAGAACGCTTTAAGCATTATACATATATAGATATTTACCTATATATGACTATCCAATTAATCAAACGAAGTGCTTTTAACTGTCAAAATTTAATTTTTTTAGGAATCGACCATCGAATAATCGTAAGTCTGAAAATTGTCAAAATGTACTCGTGAACTAGTGTTAAGAAGGTAAGGACCAATTTCGCTACTGCCCTCATTATGTTCTATACATTGTATTTTATCGAGATTGTCTCACTCGCAAAAATAGCAATCTTAATCAAATTGCGCAATAACTGCCAAATAGTTACATAGATTTACCAGTTATTTACTGTATGTAAAACTTAAGAGCTTTTAATTTGATTTGATACGAGATATATATTCTTGTAATTAGCTAGGTTATAAAACTTACAAAAGCGAGAAATTCTAAAAAGATACAAGAATTATGGCTAAAAAACACCGATCCGTTTCTTTTCAAATTTAGTCAATAAGGTATAACTATTTCAGACCAAATTTTGTTTTAAATTTTCAAAAACGTTTGTACATTCGTCTGAAGTGACTACATTAAAGTAGTAGTAAAATATTCTATTTTGCTCGAAAATTGCAACACAGTCAAAAACCGCAAAAGTTCCCTATTTAATAAACTCGTAAACTTTGAATGCGTGTCGATTGGAAATGTTATCAAAGTGACACGTTTCGTGCATACTTATTTTTTTACAAGAGCTTTGTTGCGCGAGTTAATGTTTGCTAGATAAAATATATTTTATATCAATAAAAAAAAATTCTCTTTTTTAACACCGCGTAATGAAGCGGGTTCACTCACCTTGTACCCACAGGAACGGCAGGAACTCGTTTTAGAGAGACGAGAGGATACTGTCGTAAATAGCAGACCGATTTCGGGGGTAATCTGCAGCCGTGCCGATGTTTGCCGGAGCACAATCCTTTTTTTTTCTCGTGAGACGGTTCGAAGGCTCCAATTGACAAGTGCGGAATCGGACAGGCGCCGCGCCGCCGCCGCCGCGGAGAGAGAGATCCGTTTTTGGGGGCACCTCGGGGAAGATTCCCTCGCGAATCCGCTCGCGGGACGAACCGACGAGGGGAAAAGGAAGAGGTAACGCCATTCGGGGAGGAAGTTTTACAGTCGGTAGTTCGGGAGGCCCTTTCGTACCTCCGGGGTGTACCGGTCGACCGCGGCATATGGCCGGAATAACGAAAGGGCGCTCTCCCCGTGATTGCGGTAATTATCGAGTCACGTTACGAGATCCGTGCCGTTAAGATCTGCAGAAAGCTGCGTGAGGGGCTGCGGACGGGCACGAGGGGACCGTGCGTAACGCTCGGGAGAGAGGAAGATAGAAAATTTTATATGTGAATTACGCTAATTTGCGTGATTGCTCCGCGGCGCGGTACACGGTGGGTCGCCCCGAGGCTCGCGATGCAGTCGTTGCGATTTGCCTGAAAAACGTTATCGGAGGACGTGACGACGCGTTATAAATACCAACGAGATAATTGCGTCTCGATTATACTAGATCGCAAATAAACGAGAACGTTTGATGATTCAAAAACGAACGGAGAGATATATCAGATTCAACGATGGTAATTATTATGCAACTGCGCGCGCGCTCGAACAGTTATATATTTTTTTTACTATTTTAATTTTGAATAGACGGATTTATTCAATTCCTTAGATTTCTACGCATTTTTAATCGGTTAAGTCCTCCGATATTTACGTAGTTACGTAAAAAGAGATGAAAAATAACATATGCATATAGAGAGATGCAAACGCAAGCGAATCAGGTGAACGGAAGGCAACGCACGTTATAAAGAGGACGCAACATTTTGCCTCTCAGAACTGAGATATATGACGGTATGTATTAACGGTGCATTCAAGAGGACTATCGCAGGAGTGCATTGTTTAGCACGGCACAGAGCGATCATATATTTATCTACTGTATATATACAGCAAAATTACCGTCCGCCGTGTACACGAACTCCGGCGAGAGTGCACGGCGTAATCATCGGGTTAATTAAAATTATAACTATTTCCATTCCCGCGGAATATTAACGTAGGCGGTATTACCTGGCAAAAGTGCGGTACGCGCGTTGCGTTCACTCGCGCGTGAGTAACGTCCGTTAATTATTTGACAAAAAAATATCCGGCGGTTTCGGAAAAGTGCACTACACAGACACGGCGGTCGATTACGAGAGGTAGCACATATATTTGGCTCTTCTTTTACGAATATCTTTTTATAGCGGAAAACAACGGTCTCTTTTTCTTCCTTCTGGTTTTCCAATATTTTGCTTCGTTTCCCGCAGAAATTTAAAAAGTTACCGTAGCCGACGGTATTTATCGCATTGTCAAGTCTAAATTTTTCGGATGTTAAGTTACATGTCCGTGATAATAATTTAATGAGTGGACATCACTTCCTCTCTTTCTTTCGGAAATAAGAATGTAAATAATTTCTATCGCCATAATGATGGTATTCCGGGAATATGTATACAGAATATTTATAAAGAGAATAGAAATTAGGATACATATATGTTGTCCTGTTATTATTACAGCAGCGAACAACAGAGCAAGTCATGAAAACGGAGGTGCGAAGTGGAAGTGAATATAGATATTATTACGTGCTCGTACGTATATTGAGAGGAGTTTAATTGGGTGGAACTCCAAGTGATCTCGAAGTAGCGCGAGCACTATTCTCAAGCTGTCCAAAGTTGTGGAGTATTTTGGTTATAAATATGAATAAATATAGCTGTAACTTAAACCAAATAATAACATATAATATAATATACGCATATATGTACAAACGAAATGAAATCAAGAAAAAAGAAACTGTTTGATTCAATACGACTTGTTTCACGAATAATGCGCTATCTCTTGAAAAACAGAAACGTTTTGATCCGCGTTCAATCCTCGCGAATTCGGCGGAAAGACGAAAAAGGCTTTCCTCTTTCTCATGCCGGTCCCAGTATGCCATCCTCGCGAACGGCGCGGAGAGAGCGCAGCGTGGAAGAGGGACGAGGCGGGAAAGGAAATGGGAAACGGAGAGAGGGCATGGAAGCGAAGCGGGAATAAAGTGGAGTAGACCGGAATAGAGTACAAGGTGTATGCCTAGAAGGTATAGAGAGAAAATGGTAGCCAATGGCGCTGCCTCAGCGTCGTTGCTACAGTATTGAACGTCTCCTACGCGGGGTCCAGATCTCATCCTCCTTCTCCTTCTCTCTCTCTCTCTCTCTCTTCCTCTCTTTCAGTATGTCTCTCCATCCCTCTCTCTTCATCTCTCTCTCGCTCGCACCTTTTTCACTCCCTGCCTCTCACCGAGCCACCCGACCTCCGTTTCCTCCTGGTCGTCCTCGTCCTCGTCCTCCACCACCTCCTCCCCCACTTCTTTACCTTCCCTCTGTCTCTCGTTCCGCGTCCCTCTCCCCCCTCCTCCCTACCTCTTACCTCCCTCGCTTATCCCTTTCTCTCTCCTTCTCTCTTTGTCTCTCTCTCCCTCCTTCATCTTTCTCTCGTTTTCTCGTAACCCGACGACGTCCTCCCTCCACGATCTCGTCATAGGGTGGAGACCCTCCCTGGTACTCCCTACCTCGTACTCCTCCTCTGTGCCGATGCTTCTCTTCGGCTCTCATCTCACGAAGTGGAGGTGGGAGGAGGAGGAGGAGGAGGTGGAGGCCTCTCGGTAACCTCTCTCCATCAGAGACGATCCGTGAGTCCGCTGCCGAGATCCGGAGTGGTGTGAGGTGGCCGTCTCTATATCCTCTCATTAATATCCGACCTTAGGAGGTCCGAGGCGGCCCGTATGGCCGTGGTGCCAGCCTCTCTGTCGATCCAGACCTTCAGCGACAGTTGCCTCGGAAAGGTGCGCGACTGCTGCTGATGTCTAATCGCGACAAGTAGCCATTAAATTTACCGAGACAATAATTGAAGCTTCCCTCTTCAAAGAACACCGTTCTTTCCGTATCGTTCCTAATAATTTGTTTCCCAGAAGGGGGTGGAAACTTATCATTGTTGCAATTCATTATTGTGCGTTTGTATACTTATGAAGTAGAATAAAAATGTGTATAATTATTATACGCACATTTCGGTATAATATAATACTCGTAATAAGCATGTTATAATAACATCTCGTAAGAGAGATCTATAATAACAATATAATTATGACATAATATATTTCTTGGGGAGATGTGTTATAATTTTACATATAACAATAGTCTGTGAGATTTTACCAGGATCTAGCGATGGATCTAGCGATCATTCCTTTGCCTCTTAATCTACTTAAAACACTAATTAACGAAGATAATTTATAGTTCCCAGGTATTATGTGATAATAAAAATTTCATAGAGTTTAGCGAGATGAAGTCTCGCGCGTGGAACGTCTCCCAATTATTGCCGTGGCGGGATTTAATAGCGATCGACGGCGGATTGCGGCGCAATCGATGCGAGTCGGAGAATGATTGCGGAAGAAAGATGTGTAGAGGCAGGGACAGGGAGCAGGCAGAAAAATGAAAGACAAGGCGGTCGAAGGAACAAGACGGTATACTTAATTGAATATTCAGGGATATACGATTGATGCGCGGTGTCAGTAGTCGTGGCGTAGAGCCGCGGCATGCGGTGGCGTAATCGACGTATTACCTCGGGCCTTTACGAGCAATTATGCTAAAGCCAAAATGCATTCAAGGTGGTGCACCCGGCGCTCTCTTGACCGGCACGTATAGTTAAATGTATACTTATTACCATTAATGTTGCGTTGGTTTCAGCGAACTCCTTATCAACAATAAAGATAAAAAGAAAGAGACAGAGAGAGAGAGAGAGAGAGAGAGAGAGAGAGAGAGACAGGGAGGGAGAGTTTGATACTTTGTATCTGCAGCAAAAGTGGGCTAAATTGCGGGGCGTTGATTAAGCGATCACGCATCTTTCACGAGGCATCGCGGGGAGGAACGTCATCCCGGGTCAAATCGGAGGCGACGGCGGAGGCGGGAGGTCTTCTTTTTTGCGCGTGGAATAAAGCTCAGGGGAGAGCGACGCGTATATAGGAGCGGACGGGGACCTCGACGCGCGCGGTCTGCAGCTGCTGGATCTTATGCTAATCCCACCCCCGGAGGCTAACCCCGGTGTGCGCATCCCATGAAAAAGTTGCTCGTTACACGCTCGCCCATAAATCTCCCTCCTAAGCTTAATCTGTCCGCCGCCACCGCCGCGCCGCCGCTCCCTCCGCTTCCGACCCGCGTCGCGGAAAACTCCTGCGAGCCCAGGCGGCAGGTGTATACGTCTCGGCGCGCCCGCGCCGCGGATTTTCATAATTTTTTATCCTTCGGCGAAAATTTAAATCCCAACTGGCTGGCTGGCCGGCCGGCTGACCGGCTGGTCGTCCGCCTCGAGAATGCAGCTTCTCGACTGCTTCTCTTCGAGAGCGAACTTTGTTAACGATAGTTTAGAGGAACATTGATACGTGTCGACTGTTTTAAGAATGCATTCCGATATTTTGTTTAAAGAAGAATCAATTTTGAAGGATCCGATTATTATATGGATACCTTGTACAATATATAATTCTTTTAAGTGTCTTATACAATATATACATATACATATGTAATAATTTAATTATATTAAACCTTATACACATATAATCTTTTATATTATTATCGGACATCCTGTACATGTATATATACTGCTTCCTAATTGTACATTATTTAAATTTTTAATGTCGGTCTTCTAAGAACATTTGATAGCATACGCCAGGAGTTTCGGAAGAATGGAGCTACACGTTACGC